CACATGCTCTTAATCCAATCACATGTCAGGCAGAGTCTCTGTGTGTTCAAGGACACAGCCAAGCAGTGGCTCGAACCTTTAATCTTAGTTCCAACCATAGAGACCTGGAGGTCTGTATAGACAGGCAGTGACGAGGAAGTCATGTGGTTGGGTTTATAGCCAATGAGAAGGCAGAACAGAAAGGCAATAAAAAGATAGAACACAGGAAGAAGGTCTCTCTGAGGGGAAGGACGGCAGTGAGTGGTAAGATAAGGTGGTCATACCTCTTGGCTACTGCTCGATCTCTGGGTTTTTATCTCTTTATTTGGCTCTGTGTTTCTTATTTAATAAGACCATTTAGAATTACATCTACATATGCCATTTATTTTAAGGATTAAATGAACACATATATAAAGCTATAGTCCATAGTAGGGACATACAATTTCCTCACCAGTCTTTCTGTACTGACACAGACATGCCAAAGGGCTTCATATTTCTCAGGCCCCCTTCAAAACATTCTTCTCAATACTATAACACAAATTTGAGTTTCAAAGTTGCAAACTAAAAAAATATCCCTAAGAAGAAGGTTCCCACCCACAACCAAATCTGAAGGAAGTTAATATTCTTTTTCATTGTGAATAGGGTACAGTTAAAGCAAAGAAGAGAAATAAGTCAGTAAGGAACATGAAAGAGTATTTATATCAAGAAAAAGCAGCAGGTACAATGAAATGTACTTCGTATTGCTAGTTGATGAAGCACTGATAGTATTGGACAAGATATGAGGTCATTATTTAAGTTTGGTATAGCAAGATTTATGGAAGTCCAGGCCTACCGCCCCAAAGTTTGATTTTCAGTTTGATAAGCATTCCCGTTGAATCCTAAGGAAGAGTTTTGGTGTATCTACAATTTTACCAATGATTTGTGAACCAACTTGAGGCCTGCCATTGCGTATTTGGATACTCCAAGGACAGCATATCCATCATTAGGCTTGGTCTAGGGAACGTTTTCAGGCATGCACCAGTTCTAGTGTTGTGATATGATGGTAAAAAGGGAAATATTCCTCATTGATGTGTCAGTGAAGCCTAAAAATGGGAACAGCACCACATGACAATTGCTTACCAATTTAAGAATAAATAAAATTACCATATCATAAACCTGTTTCTATACTACAATTATTTCCCTTAATAATTATGGCTCAAGAAAAAAAGCCTGCTCATCAAGGGCAAGGGCAATAAGTGGCTAACTATGCAACCACCCTGAGTCTGACTAAACATTCCCATGTGTGACTAAATGCTCCCTTATCTGTCCCTACATGATGTATTATACTATAAAAAAGATGATGCTGAATACCTTTGACAATGTTCAGAAGTTTTCTCAATGACTTTTCAAAAACACACTGCTTCCATCAAAAAATTGGCAGACATCTATTTAGTACACCTCATTAATTAACAATTACCATGAAGGTACAAGGTTACTAATTCATTATGACTTAAAATTATGTAGAAATAATAAACCAAAGGTTCTTCACATTATAACAATGTTAAGAATTGAATGGATATTGGCTATAAATATATCTACCACCCAAGAAGGGTTCCTTTTTTTTAATCTCATCCAAAGATGTAAAGCTCATTTGATTAGTTTCTCTTTCATCCCAAAACGCCTGTCATCTTTGATTTTGTCCCCAAAATGGAGGCTATGATTTTTTTCTGTTATTTGTCCCATCTTCATTTTACTCTGCAGCTTTGTTGTCATTCTAAAGTTCTGCTTCTATTATTCTTCCTCTAGCTTGTGATTATTTATGTTTTTTAATCTTATATTTGGTTTAATCTCCTTTGGGACCTTGCTATACTCTTCATTACCAACCCCTCAACCTTCCACCTCTCCCGAGTAATCTCTAAACACATTCATGTTTATCTCATGTAAAAAAAAAAACTTCTATAGGGCTGGAGAGATGGCTCAATGTTTGAGAGCACTTGTTGCTCTTTCAGAGGATCTGGCTTCAGTTCCCAGAACATAGATGATGACATATAATCACACATATGTACAGTTTCAGGCAATTCAAAACCCTCTTTTGGCCTCAGCACACATGTATTACATATACACACCTGTAGGCAAGCATTCATAGACAGTAAAAGGAAAACAAACCTCTCTATATAATTGTTTGTTTTTATTTCTTTATTTCTCCATGCAAGATAAAGTCCATATTGATTACCTCTTTCTCTATTTAACCATTTCCTGTCTGTAGTGGGTAGCCATTCCAACCTTGATCTGAAAGTCCCAACCCCCACTGAGGCTTCAGTAACTGTCACGCCTACAAAGCAGAGCAATGAGAGGACCCTGAAGACCCAATATCTGGATGTGCCTTCTCTCTTGGTTCCTGGACTCTGGACGCTGGAGGTTGACTGAACCAAGTTCTCCAGAGAACACTGCTGGACTGTGCTGCATCTTTCCCAGACCCTGCAACCTACCTATCCCTTCATTTGTAAGTTTTGCCACTAAATAAACCTCCCTTTTAACTACATGGAGTGGCCTTAATAATTTCATCAATACCTATCCATTCTCCAAATCCTAGCAACTGGTTGCCCACAACTTTCCTAAGGTCATAAATTATACCTTAACTGTAAGGTTCAACAACGAATGAATGATCCTTACATTTCCTGGTTTCCTGGAGAAACATTAGTAGCAAATCCATTTTCCAGGGAATCTTTAATTTCCTTGGTTCTCATTAAATGTTCATTTCCCCTAGCGTTCTACCTATCTGTTCACTTCCTTTAAGTTCTATCCAGGACTCTGCTTTTACCACATTTTATCCCTTAATGGTTGCTATTTCCTTGTAGCACGAATTGTTAGAAGGTCTTATTAATAAAAACAAACCCAGTGTCAGTTATTTGGGTGAATACTGGAAGATCAGAGAAGCAGAACAAGCCACAGCCACCTCACCTTGCCAAATTCTCAGCTGATCCTGTTTCCTTAGACTGGAAGCCTCTGAGTCCTCATCCGAATGGATATCAGCTGAACTGCTGCTCAAAACCCTAAAAGCTTAACTGACCCTAGTTCCTGGTTTTCACGCCTTATATACCTTTCTGCTCCCTTCCATCACTTCCTGGGATTAAAGGCATGTGTCACCATGCCTGGCTATTTCCAGTGTGACATTGAACTCACATAGATACAGATGGAATGTTAGGATTAAAGGTGTATGTGCCACCATTTTCTGGCCCCTATCTCTATCTAGTGGCTGTTCTGTTCTCTGACCCCAGATAAGTTTATTAGGGTGCACAATATTTTGGGCAACACAATATCAACACATTTCCTAGAAGTCTCATATTTTCCCTCTTCTTATCCTGCCATCACACTTCGTAATGGTGACAGTATCTTTCTCAAAGCTTCAATGTGCCCCACAAATCTCTCCCTTGACTTTTCCCATGAGCTACAGACTTAGGTATCCAATGCCTTTTCCTTGTTATCCCACTACATGTCAAATGCAACATGGTCAAAACTAAATTATTTTTTTCACTATAAGCAGCAACATAGCTTTCCTCCTAAACTACTTAATAATGATAACCACCATCTCCTCAGGTAAGAACAAACCAGAGACTCAATACTTCTTAACCCATATTACATTTAGTTAGAAACTCAACCTTATCATTTCAGCTTTCACACTTTATCTTAAAAAAAACCTATCACGAGTTTCTTTTATCAAATACAATAGCTCCTTAAACTTCCTCTGTTCATTCCCATCACCAGTGCCATCACTCATTCATGACACAATAATGTCACTAGACTAGAAATTTCCTGAAAGCAAGGACTATATTTTGTTTCCCTTTGTACACTTGTCTAAAGAAGTGATTAGTACACACTGGACCTTCAAAATATGTCAGTGAAATCAACCATATAACTGAATATACACATTTAAACATAATACATAAATTGGATCAACTGAAATTGTAAAAAAGTTTTTGGTGTGTGTACATGTGTGTGTGAGTGTGCACGTGTGCACATGTGAATTGCTGATCATTTGAAAATTAATAGTTTAGTCTGTCAGTATTACAAAACTTGAAAGGTACCCAGGTATGTAAATCATGAACTCCATTCTTTTTTTAAACAAAGCTGAAATCTTGCCTTATTAGACACCAATGCAAACCCCCAACTCTCTACACCAAAGTAGAATCTGGACTTATTCTGCATTCATTGAGAACTTTCCTTTTCCAGAAGCCACTGTCCATTAATTGATGCCCTTCTTAAATCACCTCTTTAATTTTCATTCATTTATCTCTTTTATTCATTCAGTTTCATTAAATATTATACTACTAATACATTTTTAATAAAACCCAACCATCTGCCAATTATACAATAAAAACTCCCCTTCTAACATCTTTCCAGTTAACCTTAATCTCCACCACCAAAAGAAACATCAGAAAGAGTCATCATAAACTCAATACTTGTAGTCATAGCTGTTTGATCATTCACAGAGATACATAGGAGGCTGAATGACACTGGAAAAATCTACCTTGCTTCCCTCTATCCTCTGGTTGAACAATCTCCTAGCCCATACTTATTAGACACAGGAAATAAGATTGGCTTATTTTCCTTTGCCAAGAATACATGAATTTTTTAAAAGATTATTAAAACTACCTGCAGCTATCATTAAACTAAAATGGGGGAAAAAAGCATCAGTCTTGCAGTAGATGGCACTGATTTGGAAGATAAGTAGTCCTGCCCATTGTTGCTCTAATGAAGTCTTCATGGTTTGCCTGGCTAAACACACTGGAAAGCATGGAAGGAGTATTTTGATATAACAATGCTTGGGCTGTGAGGGGCTCTTTGAAGACAGAAAGTCTCACAAGCCAGAGAAAATAAGTGTTATTCTGGCAGACATCCCTTGAAAGTTTCAATTGCCCCCAATGTGGAAATATATATATATATCTTGTAAAATAACTTTGGTGCTTGAAAATAAAGTTAGTATTAATAAGCAAGTTCAAGACTATAGAAAAGAGTATTATCCAAAAAGATAAATTACATACATATTCAGCTACCTTGTAGGGCTCCCCAAAAAGATCAAAGCCTGAAGAAAAGAGATCATCTTCTTGTTGAACTTCTTGATTTCTTCGTTCCCATTCCCTTTTTTTAAGTGTACTACGATCCTGTTCATAGTGACTGATATGAAAAAGAAAAAAAACAGAGAAAAATTAGTCATCAAGAAATTTATATCTCCCTTGTTATTCCTAGGAATAAAAAAAAAATGCAACTCAATCCTACCCAGCTCAGTACTGCATAGAAAACAGAATCCTTTACTTTATCTGTACTAACTTTAAAAGTAAGAAAGAAACCAGAAATTTGCTCAGTAAAAGTTGTACCTGTGGCCATGCAAGTACATAGAATTCTTGTTCCTCATCCTTTTTTGATTATTAGATGTAATTTCACACTCTGTAAAACCAGTCTACTATACGGAGAATTGCTGAATTAAGGTTACATCATGTTGTCAAACACCTGGGGCCATGAATGCACATATGCCACATAATACAAAAGAAACAAATGATTAAAGCATGGATCTTTAATTAAATTGGAAGTCTTCCCAAAGACTTTACCCTATCTTAATTATCATGGGTAAGTTTAAGGACATTAAGCCATCTTATGTGGAGGTGGACACATTAAAATATTAAATTATTTAAATACTTTCATTACTTTTTGTTTGGCTGTTTTTGTTTTGATTTTTTTATTATTATTTTTGTTTCACAATTGACTAGGAGCCATTTGGGAAAAATATTTAGAAAAGAAGGGACCTAGCTGAAACAACAAACAAATGACTATCAATGAAAGAGACATGTGGCAAAAGCATTAAATGAACTTGATATAAAGCTGTTTTATAAAGACTACCTATAAGATGTTCATCAAATTTCAGACTTTTTCATTGAAATATTGAAAGCTTCCAGACAACATTTAAGATCTAGTCGGAGATCTTAGGGATTTCAGAATGGAATATTTCCTTATTAAGAAATTTACTTCTCTGTCACGCAATACTTTAAATTGAACTCTAAATCTGCATGATTTATATTAAAAATTGAGAATCCCTAATGCAAATATCTGAAACTGAAAATTCTCCTGTGGTGATATTTTATTTGTGCTGAAATATGGTGATATTTTATTTGTGCTTTAATAAATAAAGCTTGCCTAGAGACCAGAGGAAAAAGGCCAGCCATTATAAATAAACAAAGAAGTCAGGCAGTGATAGCACATACCCTTAATCCTATCACTTAGCATTCAGGATCTCTGTGTGTTCAAGGCCACACTAGGGAACAGAGCCAAACATGGTAACACACACCTTTAATCCCAGTACCAACCATAGAGGTCTGGAGGTCTGTACAGACAGAAAGTGACAGAGCTGTGTAGGAAGAGGAAGTGATGTAGCTGGGCTAACAGAGCCAATGAGAGGGCAGAACAGCAAGGCAATGAAGGTGTGGGCAGGCAGGAAGAAGCTACCGAGTTGTTGAGGTGAGGTTAGCTCATGGTTTGTCCTATTCCTCTGATCTTTCTCTTGGACTATCACCCAAATTTCTGGTTCCATGCTTTTTATTTATTGAGACCATTTAGAAATTCATCTACATTCTCCCAATCTGAAAATTGAAAGTGCTTATATGATGCTACAAGTAGAAAAATTTCATATTTAATAACATGACAGTACAGAGTTAAAATGCAGATACACTAAACATATTCTCTAAAATTTCCTTCATGTTAAGAGCATAAGGTTTATATGTAACATAAAATAAATTCCCAGTTTAGATTTGCATCTTTTCTACAAGGTATCTATGTGTGAACCTGAGAAGCACAATTATAACTAGCATAGCAAAATATATCCACTGGTACAAAAGTGGCATGGATGTCATAGGAGTAATGAAGCACTTTCTGACTGAATTTAAATCCTAGTCCACAGGTCAAAACCTACAACTAGATAGGTCATAGGCCCTAGAGGAGAACCAAATTCTATTATTCTGCTAAATGGTACTGTGTGGAACTGCCCCTAGGTTTTTAATCTTTATACTTGTATAGTAGTATAGTTCTCAACCCTCACCAGAGAAAATTACTTTTGCAGTATATGGCAAATAGTCCACAACTGATAAAAATGCAGATAATAAGATATTGTGAAGTTTTCAGGTCTAAATGGGACATCTATATTACACACTTCCTCCGGCCCCCTCAAGGCTAAGGGATCATTTCAGAAGAGTGCATAGAAAGATTCCTATAATCAGAGATAGTAGACACATGTAGACTATTTAGTGAATATTACAAGGTTATTGTACACACTAATAGCATCTATGACTGTATACATATGCATATGAGCTGCAAAATATCAATCCAACTAAAACACTAGAATGGATGGGAAAGAGTGTTGTAAGACATGCTCCCCAACACACACATCTGAAAAGCTGCTGGCAAATGATGGCTCTTTGGGGAGGAAAAGTCAATTTTCTTTGTAATGTAATCCCTGAGAGGCTACCCATGCTTAATAGACTGTCCTACAACCATGCATACTTAGCGAATTAAATAAAAAAAAATGAGCACATGAAATTGGGAGGGAAATTTTTGGTGAGGGATAGGGAAGAAACTGTAAGGTATGGAATATGGGGTAGATTTGAACAAAACATTGTATGCATACATGAATTTTGCAATAAAAAAAGAGCCTTAATCACAGCACTCAAAAGGCAGAGGGTCATGTGGATCTGTGGTGGTTTGAATAAGAATGGCCACTATAGACTCATATATTTGAATACTTAGTCATCAGGGGGTGGCACTACTTGAGAAGAATTAGGAGGTGTAGCATTGTTGGAGGAAGTTTGTCACTGAGGGTGAGCTTTGAGGTTTCAAGTGCTCAAGCCAGTCCTAATGTTTTCTCTTCCTATTGACTGTGGATCCAGATGTAGAACTCTCAGATACTTTTCCAGCATCATGTCTGCCTATGTGCTGCCATGTTCTCTACCATGATGATAATGGACTAAACCACTAAAATTGTAAGCAAGTCCCAATTAAATGCTTTCTCTTATGTGAGTTTATTTGGGGAAGGAGAGTTGATCCTGAGGTAACAAGTGTTGGAGAGCTGTCCCTGTTCTCCACAACCTGCAAAACTGGGGAAAGCAGGCCCTGCACTTGGCCAGGGCAGCACAATAGAGCCATGCTTCTTAGTTCAGGTGTGGGTGAGCTAGCCTTGAAGCTGAAAGCATGGGAGTGATGTTCCCATTTCTCATATGGCTTGTGGCAGCATGGGCAGTGGTATGATGCCCTTCTGCCTACCCATCAATGTCTGAGGCAGGTGGGAGAGCTGGCCCTTTGGTCATAAGAGTGGGAGAACCACCCCGCTTCACCAAGACCCCCTGCCGGACTCTGCAATCTACACACCCTGTCCCCATACCCATCTGCCTGAGAATCCAGCCACTTCCTGAGACAAGGAAACAAAACTGCCAGCTCTCATTGGACCAAGAGGTGAATGACTCTGCTCATATCCAGAGAGTCCTGCCTCTGGGACCCATACCTGGGGCACAGCCCATTCCCGGGAACCCCCGCCCAACTCTGTCCAAGTTGAAGGCCAGCAGGCAGGGTACCTGGGGAAGGCCCCCCCTTCACCAAGACCTCCCACCAGACCCTGCAATCCACACGCCCTGCCCCCATACCCATCTGCCTGAGAACTCAGCCACTTCCTGAGGCACAGAAATCAAACCAGCAGCTCTCATTGGACCAAGAGAGCTCTCATTGGACCAAGAGACCCTGCAATCTATATGACCTGCCTCCATACCCATTTGCCTGAGACTCCAGCCACTTCCTGAGGCAGGGAAACCAAACCGTCAGCTCTCATTGGACAAAGAACTTACATTGGACTTTTTCCAATCTTGGTCTCAACAATTCTCGCTCATACAATCCCTCCTCTTTCTAGCTAATTGGATTCCTGGAGCTCCACCTGGGGTCTGGCTGTGGATCTCTGCATCTGCTTCCATTAGTCATTGGATGAGATTTCTAGCATGACAGTTAGGATGTTTGGCCATCCTATTACCAGAGTAGGACAGTTCAGGCTTTCTCTTGACCATTTCAGGTAGTCTATTGTGGAGGTATCTTTGGAACAAGAGCAACCTCTTGAGACAGGGAATCTGCCACCCTTCATTAGACCAAGAGTGACTTTCTGAGACATAGAATCTGCCACCCCTCCTTGGACCAAGAGAGTCTTCCTAAAACATAGAATCTTTCAGCTCTGACTGGACCAAGAGCCCTGATAAAACCAAGAGCGGCTCCATGAGTCACAGAATCAACAAGCTTGGGTTGACCCAAGAGCAGCTCCCTGAGACACAAAATCTGCCTGCTACAATTAGACCAAGAGCTAAGACTGGACCCAGAGGGACACCCTGAGACACAGACACAACATGCACAGAGTGGACCAATAGCAACTTGCTCTGACACTGGCACCTCTTATACATATTAGAGGATGAGATGGGTAGACATCAAGGCAAAAATTACATACAAAAACATAAAGAGCAATATCTAGCCCTCCTCTAACAGCAAGACCTGAACATCACAATGTACAAAAAACAGAAGAAAGCAACCTTAAGAATAGCATCATGAAGATTTTAGTTTGAAGTCTATTTTGTTGGATATTAGGATAGCTACAGCAGCTTGCTTCTTAAGAAGAGTTGATTGGTAAGACTTTTCCCAGCCTTTTATTCTGAAGTAGTGTCTTATCTTTGAAACTGAGGTGTGTTTCTTGTATGGAGCAGAAGAAGAAATGAAGTATCAAGAAGAAATCAATAAAGAAATTGAGGAAAAGACAAATAAAAAATTGGAAGAAATCAATAAATCCCTTAAGGAAAGCCAAGAAAACCATGAAAAGGCAATTAAACATGTGAGGGAAACAGTTCGAGACCTGAAAAGGGGAAATAGAAACAATGAAGAAGACACAAGCAGAGGGAATGCTGGAAATAGAAAATCTGAGTAAACGAACAAGAACTTCAGATGCAAGTATAACCAACAGAATACAAGAGATGGAAGAGAGGATCTCTGGTGTAGAGGATACAATAGAGGAAATAGATTCGTCAGTCAAAGAAAACACAAAGCCAAAAAAGTCGTAACACAAAACATCCAGGAAATCTGGGACACCGTGAAAAGGCAAAATCTAAGAA